AAAGTGCAGAAAATCAAGGCAGTTTTAGTAAAATATAATTATTTCATACTGCACAAGAAATTAAAACAGTAGGAGAGACAGGGGTAATGTCCACAAAATTTAAGTATAAAAGCAGTTTTATTATATATATATTAGTGATCTGCATCGGGCCTAATTTTTCAAGCCCGGCCTGAAATTTTTTTGCCCGGTTCGGCTCCAACCTTTTTTAAAAAATTTTGCCGGCCCAGCCCGAATTTATTTAAATATAGAAATTAATATAATTAATCAAAATAAACGACATATGTTATTTGGCGTCTACTTTCTATAAATAAAATCATATATTTTTATTTTGCATAAAATATTCAATATAAAATTGATAAATTTAGATATATTTTAAAAAAATTTTAAGGCACGACCCGACCCGACCCAGCCCAAATTTTCTTAAAAAATATTAGGCCCGGCCTACTTTTGCAGATCTCTAATATATATATACAGTAGAAATTAATATTTAAGAAAAAGAAATTGTAAATTTAAGAAAAAGATGCAACACCCGGGGTACCTTTTTTCGCAGCGCGTGTTATAGCGCTTCTTTATTTTTAGATTTTCTAAAAAATTATTCTATAAAAATAATAATCCTAAATTAAAAAAATGAAGATACATTGTAAAATAGGTTAAATGTTAAGGTGCAGCATCCATATTATAATATATCACCCAAAAGAATTTGCAGTTAAAACTGTCATATAATTTACAAAAAATTAGTCAACCATCTTCATATTGTCATTTGTGATCCTTGACCAACTCATCAAATTCATAGCTTCTAGTTTTTTAAAAAATATAGTTGGATTTTTTTATTAAAAATAAATACCTGCTTGGAAATGGTTATCACTCCGCCAAAACCTGCCCTTGGTCTTCACATTTAACTAAAAAATATTGTAAATGTTTTATACATTATAAAATTGTGATTACTTTTTAATTTAGAATTGATATTTAACCTAAGTCACTTTTATAAAAATATTATTAGTGAAAATATAACAAAATAAATGGCTACTTTTTACTTTTTACTTGTTAAAATTTAAATTTAGATTTAAAACCTTTCTTGAGCATATTTCTGGAATACATTTTGGAGCCATTGAAGTATCTTATTGAAGTATATTATGGTTTAATTTCCAAATATCAAATTTATTTGTTTTAATTCAAATTGATATGCAGTTTTGCCAATCGATTATAATTCTTAAAACGGTATTTGTAGTCATTGTTTCTCATCTCTATTTTAAAAATTACTTGACATATGACTAAGGAAAAAAAATACCCGACTTATTAATAAAAGAAGCCTTAATTATTTTTTAAAAAGGGGGGGGGGGAAGTAAATTGAAGAAATGACCTTAATTTTGTTTTAAAAATATTCTCGCAAATTAATATTACCGGATATTTTATAAAAAAAAGAAATAAAGTTAGATTGATGACCATTTAAAGAAAAAAAATATCTTTCATTTTAGATGCTTTTGAAAAAAAATAAGATAGAGTATATTTATATCTTATTGAAATTTTTACTAAGTATCTTGTATCTTAGACTCAAAATTTTGAAAAGCATTTCTCTATATTTAAATATAATTTTCTAAAAATTCGTCCAAGTCTGGCGTGAAGGTTCAGCCAAACATTTCAAAACACTTCTGAAAGGAAACTTAACTTATACCCAACTATTAAGTAGTGTTTAATTCGTAGATTTTAGCTTTTCCAATTTCAACCCCTTTTGTAGATATGTTTTTATTTAAAGAGAAATAAATTATTGGCAAAATAAATAAAAATTCAACGATCCAGAACAAAAAATATGGAAACTCACAAAACAGCTAATATGTGTTAAAGGTTATTATTTCCAAAACCCTAATGGTTAAAAATTTTGTCATTCGAACCTAAACCCTGAAAAAGCTCATGAACAGTTTTAACCTTTCAATATCCTAACTATTTTAAAGATTATTACCAATAAAGTATCACCTTACATATTTGTATTATTGCTGGTCCCAACAACCCACTTTGGCATATTGAAGTTTTCTCAACTATGAAATTATATCTTCTTCCTTATATAATATAATTTAACTAATGATAATCTTGAAAATATTTTAATTATATATAGCTTAATAATATTTTTTTATCAAAGGAAATAATTATTTATATTATTGTTAATAAATAGGGTTTATTTGCTATAATTTACAAATTAAATTTGTATACAATAGATTTTAATACATATTTTGAGTTATTTTACTTACATTTACATTCTATAAACATATAATATAAAAAATACACAATTAAAATTAATTTGTCTGCAATTATTTATAAAATGTTATATAAAGCCATTTTAGGAATTCTTTATGATGATTAAGATTTAAAATGACTTTAAATTAATGTTTTAAATGAAGAAAAAAAATTATCGATGGATTAATAAAAATATTAAGTTTTTTTTAGAACTGAATTTTACGAAGCCATCATTATATTTAGTAATTTCGAAAGATATTTTGGTAAAATTAGTTTGTGAGCCATAATTACCATTGGCTATCTTTTTATATATTTTTTTACAAAATAAAAAAAATGCAAAAAACTATTTTTAAATAGAAAATTGTATTATTTTGAACGAATATTTGTGTTTAAGAATGAACGTGTTTTATTAATAAATATAGAGATATCCTTATATATTTGGAATCCCCACAAAATTTGCAGTCTAATGCTATATATTGATTTTAAATATTAAGTTTTCAATAAAAAAATTTTAAAAATATTTCTAATAAATTAACCAATATCGTAACATTTGCAACACTCAGATTGAGAGTAAAGGCCATCACTCCTAACACTACAAATTTCCTAAGGAACACCTCCATTACCGGACAATTAACAACTTAATTCGCAAGGCGCTTTATAGCCAACATTCCTTCTACTAGAACCAGTCAGAATAAATACCTCTGACTCTGAGAGACCAGATGTCACCTAGGTCGAAAGGGCAATCTTTATTATAGGATTCCTGAATAGATGAGGAGTTTGCAAAAGCAAACACATAATAATACGCAACCATTGCGGACACCGAATCATACAAACATAACAAATATTCACAATTTACCCTCTCCACCATTAGGGAACTTTGGCATTGATGCAATTCTATTTATAATATTGAAGATATTAAAAAAAATTTTTATTTCAGACAATGGACAAAGCTTGATTTTTACTTCATACTTCATAAAAAATGCATTTAGTTTATATAATTTAATTAAAAATTTTATGCTGGGCCCAGTCTTAGAATAAAAATTCGGGAGTCGGGTCTAAAAATAAATTAGGTTTTAAGGCTAGGCCCCGACCGAAAAGAAAAATACAGGACTCTAATTCATTCCTTTAGATAGATAGTTTTAAAAAAATAATAATTGGAAAAATAAAAAAATTGTTATGGCATTATAATATAAGTTTACTTAGTTGACAAGCATGCTAACATCTTTTGAGAATTATTATTTATTTTTTCGCGCACTTTTTAAAAATTTATAAATATTATTAAATTCGAAGAAAAAATGTAGTTGTCTCTACCATATAAAACTCTACCCCCTCCCCCCACCCTACTCTACTCTCCACTGCCAGACGCCGATATAATAAATATCATGAAGTAATATAAATTTATTGGACAAAAATTACGAATAATTACTGATTATAAGGAAAGATTCTATCTGTAAAAAACTATACTCATATATGTTGCTTAGGCAGCATTTCCATCCATAGATCATTGAAGTCACTATGTTCAACTTATAATAGCATTAGAATATATGTATTATGTTATTCTTAAAATAGTATATAAGATACCATACCATGTATCTTTTTTATAATAATTTGAATAGAACTAGTGTTGTTAAATGGCTCGTTTTGAGCCGAATTTTAAAAACGGCTAACTCAATATTTTATCCAGAATACTATTACGCAAGCCTGAATATTTTGTTTGTAGAAGGAACAAAGGTTTAGACATCTATTAGCAAAATCTCGAGACTTAGGCAATATTTTTATGGCTAAAATATTGAGTTAGCCGTTTTTAAAAATCGGCTCAAAACGAGCCGTTTAACAACACTAAATAGAACAATAAAAGAAAATTATAAAAATAAAGATATTATATAAATATGCTATAATAGTTTGCCTTCATCATCATTCATCTACTAAATAAACGGAACTCCGAAATCTCTCGTTTGGAAGATACTTTTAAATATGTCCTATAACTCCTCTAAATTTTTACCGCTTTACATAAAATATTACCCTAAGCTATTTTCCCATTACTTTTATCCCACCATTAATTTTTTTCAGTTTTTTATTCTTGTTTTTTTCCTATCCTTTTTTCCATAATATTTTATTTTCCATATTTTTTTTTACCCTTTCTTTCCTATTGTGATTTTACCAAAAACGGATTATATATTGCTTTAAAGTGTTTGTGAGTTCAGATAATTAAGTTATTGGAAATAAAAGGCTTTAAGTGCTATCCAGCGAACCTAAAGAATACTTACATCAACACCAGAATATTGACTTAATAATTTGCAGATCAAATTCTTAATCAATCCATGGGTAGTTTAGAAATTTTTTTATAATTTTAATATCTCATATTTTTTTAAAAATTTATTTTAATACAGTTTTAATTGTTTTTATATATACATTTTTTTAAATATTTTTTAAAATAAATAAAAGTTTTAAATCAAAATAAGATGGTTTTGCATTTATATAATTATTTTAAAAATTAAATACCTCAGAGTTTCTCCAATTAAAAAAAATAATTGTAAAAAAGATTCGATTTTTCCACCCAATTATATTTTTGCAATTATTAAATTTGAGTTGTTCTTTCTAAAATATTATACCAACAATTTAAAGGTTATTGTTATTTAGACAATCGAATAAATTATTGAAGCTACCAATAAATTATATATTTTTTTATAAAAAAAAATCCAATAATTATTTTACACCCTTTAATTTATTAGACGAAAATGTCAATTTTTAGATTATACACTCTTTTACTAATGATATACGGCAGTGAAAGTGTCCTCAAAAATTTTCCTCTTACACAATTGTTGAATTTGAAAGATATCAATATCGGCGGGCTCTATGATATTTACGAAAGAGATCCCAAACATTTTTCTCTATGCTCAAACGAATTAAGTCATTCCTCTTTACTGAAATCCTTCAGCATAATTTATATCATTGAAACGTTTAACGAAAAATTGTTCAGACCTACTTATAACATAAGTATTGGATATTTTATTGTGCCCACATGCCATAATGGCGGAACTGCTCAAGTAAGATACAAGTTGTTCTTTTAGATTATATTCTCGATTAATAAATATAATTAATGTTCAAAACTAACTTTTACTTATTAAAAGTTATTTGTTTTTTATAAGAGGGGAAGGGGGGGGGGGGTAAAGAATTTTATAAAAATTTTTTGGGACAGAAATATTTTGCATAATGTCGTCTGATACCATTTTTTTGGACTCAGTCCCAAAATATTTAGCATATTGTTCTTGGCTGAAAAAATTATTTATTGACGTTATTCTAATAATTTGTTAAGTAAATGAATTACTTAATTCGATTGAATAAAACAAATTATGCGAATTAATCGAAACGAATAATTCTTTATTAAAATTTGAACCGAACAAATAATTATTTACTAATCCCATTCGCTACGCTATTCCATTCGAATTATTTGAAACTAGGCCTAGTCCTAGTCGTCTTTTTTTCTCTTTCCGAATTAGCTATTCGGAATAGTAACTTTTGGCTTTAAAAAAAAGAATAAAGTTATTGTTATCAAGAACATTTTCTTCCAAGGTACTTTCCATTTCATAATATCATAATTGACTGACTCACTTACATCGATTTGGATATCCATTTGCGATGACATTTTAAATAATTTACAACAGATGATTTAGGTTTATAATTCAAATTGAAAATATAAATTACAAATATAAATTTCAGTTTCAAAATTAAATAATAAATTATAAAAATTATAATTAATTATTATATTATATTTAAATTTTCATGTTTATAGTTACATTCATTATATTTTTGAAAAGTAGCTAAGTAGCGCAAAAAAAAGCGCGTTAAAAATATAAATAATTGTAAAAGAGTAGCGCTCTATTAGCTATAGCTATCAAAAAAGTTAACGTTTGACAACTCTGATGCTAACATACTTACATATAAATATTTTTTTATAATATTAAAGCAATAGAGAAATGGAACGAATATTATTTTGGAGATCAATAGTCTACAATACTAATATATGGGGAGGGGGGGGGGGTAAATGAATTATATTATATAATAGAAGTATATTTAAAAAAATATTGCGATAAAAAAACATTTTAGGGTTTAAGAGGCATTTTCCATCTTGTTTATACTGATAATTTTTGGTATAGTATTGAAATAAATTTGCACATAAAGAAATATTATAAATATTACAAGTAATACGAGGATCGAAACAAAACCTGGTACGTAAAAATAAATAAATATTCCTAAAATATAAATAAAAGAATTCAATAGAGTATTTATTTGTAAATTTTTTATTTCCATGTATGCCTTAATAAATTTTTGATTTATTTGGATTGCCTGGGCGAAGAGATACAACAAAATTAGAGCCTGAAAGCATAATTCTATGATAAGGTAACCAGGATTCGTAGGGTAAGGTGTGCAATATTCATTTACAAAAGGTTTAAAGGCAATTTTTACATTGTTGTTTGAAAGCTTGTCATGAGAAATATATTCAACGCGATATACGGTTCTATGTCCCGTTGTAAAATATAAGACGATTAGAATTATCTAGAATAATGAAATATTGTTTATAAATAGTGTTTTCTTTAGTGAAAAACATAGAAAATGGTTATTTGAGCGTGTTTTTTTTTAAACTTAAAAATCTGATTTTACAGGAAATATATTTTAAAATACCTATTTTAAGAAATTATAGGCAATTTTACCGTAAATCCTTTGAGTCATTTATAATTTATATAAATTATATATGGAATAACTAATATAAATTACATTTAAGCTCATAAATTCATGTTAAAATTCTCTGTAATTCATAGGGTAGCTATTCCAAACATGATGGAATACGTCTCTGGTGAAATCAGATTTTTAAGTTAAAAGGCGGGCTCAAAAATGGATTTAAAGTTGAAAAAATAACACATTGCCGTCAAGTGCCGCTAAGCACATATACTTTTAAGAGTATTAGTATTAAAGAATCTTAAGTAAAAAATCTATAATAGTATAAATAAACTAAAAAATGGTGTCAGGACTTTAATTTCTAAAAAATATTTAGAATTAAAAATAAAGTTTTCCTAAATTGCCCTTATAACGACTGATTTATTTAAATTTCTATTCTATTTGTCTATTTATGTTTTACATAACTGTAGAGATCTGCAAATCACGGTGGCTCGGTCGGGCCTAATATTTTTTAAAAATCGGGCAAGGCCGGGTTGGGCTTAAATTTTTAAATATGATATATCATTACATTTTATCAAATAAATTTATATATTTTTAAATTCTTGCAAGAAATAAGGCACTAATTTTTTTTATTTATAGAATATTTTTTTTACAGTAAAAAAATTATAAATTTTTCTACATTTGAATTCGGGGGGAGTGCTGGGCAAAAAAATAATTTTTATTTCTTCGGGCTTTTCGGTACAAGTAAAAGAAAATTTTGTTCGAGATCCGGCAGAGCAAATTATTTTTAAAAAATCGGTCCGGGCGTGTTGAAAAATTAAGCCCGATGCAGATCACTAGTACGCACCTTCTTCCACCCCATCCCCTATAATTTTGAATTTTATATCATTTTTTTTAAATTATATAATAGTCTTTAAAAATTATGTAATAAAATGGGTTATTTTTAATTACATCGCCATGACCTGTGATTTGATAGGGCATTGATAAAAATAATATTAACCCAACCTTTATCCAACTCCTTACTTCAGATATTTATTTAATTTAAAATATATTCCATCCAATTACACAAAATCTCCTGTAACTCAACATTCCTTGAGTTGAAGTATTTTAATAATACAACCCAAAAATTAATGTTTTTTCTTTGTAATGTTAAAAAATTTTTAAAAAAAATAATTGTAGATTCAATGCATAATTAAAAATGATATCAGGTACAAAATCGCTTTGGTTGGTATGATCGGACCATTAAGTAGTCATATGACATCTTTCGTATCACCATTATTAACGTATTATAAATTACCTCATATTAGCCCTGAAGCAAACTCTTTAAGCCTTTCTAGAAAAAAGTAACAATTTTTCATTCATATTCTATATTTTTTTATAATAAAAATAATAAAGCCATTGAAGGATAATAGTGCGATCTACAGTGTTGTGCAAATTTAATTTAAAACATTTCCATAATTTTTAATTAGTTTGTAAATAAAATTATTTAACTTGTATAAATGGATAAGAATATTTAAATATGTACAACACTGTAATTGAGCATTTTTGAAAAAAAACTGTATTTTTTTTTGATTATTTTTATATTTGGAAAAATACATATATTTATTATCACTTGTTATTTTGTAATTAAGAGAAAATAAATTGTGGAATATAAAATTTAAATTATTTTATAAAATTTCTTTCAAAGATGATAATATTCGAAATAAAAAAAATATTATATGGAATAAATCAAAGTAGCGTTTTCAACATCAACACGGTAACCAGTTTGCATTTTTATAAATGCTTGAAAGCGCTGATCAATTTGCGCCATATACAAATTGAAATGCATTGGGTTTTGCATGACGAAACAGAAACGCTTAATTAGCTCGCACTATAAGATATTTTTTTTCTAAAATAGGTCCAAATTGAGCCAGAGTTCAAAAAAAAATTTTTTAGCAAAAATCTTTGAAAATTTATTTTGAAGAACATTTATTATCTAAAAATGCTAAAATCTTTTTTTAAAAGTCTATTGTAATTTTCGTTCATGTATAAAAAATCAAAATTTTTAAATTCTTTGAAAATTTTTACAATCTTTAGGTAATCCCTGGATTACAGGGTTGCAGGTGTTTTATTTGGTGATATATTAAAAACAAGAACTATTAAGTGGTATAATAATAAGTTTGAAGTGTTTAAAAAAACAGAAATACCTCATTTATGTATTAGGAAAAAAATAGTAAGTGAATATTTTTTCAAATTTTTACAATAATTTTTTAAAAAAAAGTAACATAAGAATTTACCTATGAAATGTTTCTAGAATATCGTATGTAATTGCAAAATTAATTTTTTGGAAGTATAAGTCGTAATACTGTATTGTATAAATCACCAACAAAAAATAATACTATGTATATAATGATCTTTATTTCAGATTCTATGAACCTTAAATCTCAATATTGATCATAAAGACTTACACTAAAGAATTTAAACTTAAAATCAGCCACCACCCACCTTTAAAGTAATTAACTTATATTGCAGATAAATGTAAATGCCATTCTTTTTTTTCTATAGAAAGGCACTCGGAAGAACGAAATATAAAAATTAACAACCAAAGAATATTTTATTTTGTATATATTATAATAATCTATAATTACAAATACAAACACAATAATAATAATTTACATAATGATTTAATTTTGTAAGAAAATATTATATTTTAAAATTGCATTCTCGTTTAGTTTTGAGTGTTTCGAAATTGGCATCTTTATTTTTATATAAATAGAGAAAAGATAAAAATATATTTAAAATATTATATAAATTTATATTATCTTTAATTGATTGGTTGTCCACGAAAACCAAGTTCCAAAAAATCATGCATATGATTATAAAAGTTTGTAAAATCGTACATGTACTGATTTAATATCGAAGTAACATTATTTATGATTTGATCTCTATTGTTTGGCCTTGGTATAGACCTATATTTGTTTTTCATGACCCCGAAAAAGTTTTCAATAGGATTTAATTGAGGTGAATATGGCGGAAGATATTTAATTCGATTTTTATAGCTATTAATAAGATGACCCTTGTGTATTGCGGCATTATCTATAATGATAATTGCATCATTTGGAAGAATTTTAATTCTCTCAGATAATCAAGGAAAAGCAACCCATTAAAGGGCCCATATAATTCGATAGGTTATAAGGCCACCAATTCCTATTGTATATAAAATGCTAACGTTCTTGCCTTTGGAAGGTGGATCTATCACAGCTAGTGTGGCGTTGTAGGGGGCCAAAGCATACACAGGTACAACATGTAGGTTTATGCCTGTTTCATCCAGGGAGAACATTTTTCATAGGAATGTTTAGCATTTTTAGGCAATAAGCCTGGCGAATGCGAATTTCTCCTGGTTTATTTCGTCGATCGGGCTCTATTCCCCCTTTTTTTAGACCATCCTATTTTTTAAATATATTTTCGGATGGTCCCCTCATTTTTTGGGAAACCTGGAGGCTTTTCTATGATATCTTTGATAGTAGACGTGTTGTTATCCATTAAAAATTTATAACCTTTCTTTCGATTTTGGATGTGTCTTTTTTTGCATCCCTTTTTTTGAATTTGATATTGCTTCAATGGTCCCCCTATAAACTCTGGAAAGATTTCTTGCCTTAATTTGTTAACCGAGGCTATTGACATATCAATATGTTTGGCAATGTCCTTTATTTTCATTCTTTCCATATACGGCTAGGATAATAATTTAGTTACTATCTCTTTATTCCAACAATTATATTTTCTTTTTGGGTTTTGAATTGCCGGTGAATTTATAGGGTTTATTATAGTAGAATTGGCACTTATAGCAGATTGCGAAAATGATGTGGAAAAGGAATAATTAGATAAAAAGGAATTATTACTAAATAAAGAGGAATTTCTAAAACTATTATTGGTATTATTGGATAAAATATTATTAATATTAAACATTTTAAATTTAAAAAATTATTTTTTTGTAATTAAAAAGTTTTATGAGAAATTTTTATTTAATTATTAAAATTTTTTCTTATTACATAAATGTGGTATTTATGTTTTTTTAAACACTTCAAACTTATTAATGTACCACTTAATAGTTTTTGTTTTTAATATATTACCAAATAGAACACCTGCAACCCTGTAATTAATTATTTATTTTGTTATAAATAATTATCATTATATTATTATATCAGTAAAAATTATATGTGGTCGTATAAATCTGTATGATATCATGATTTCGAGTGAAAAAGAGGAGGAGGGTTGAGTTGGAGTTGTTTAAAAAGTATTTTATTTTGTAATAAGTTTTACTTTCTATTTAAATGTTATGAATTGGATTATAGCCAGAGGAATAGATATTTCTAGTGAGAAAGAAAAACAGATTGGCCCAGATCGTCTTTGGCAAAACTTATGCTTGATCTACATATACCCTTTAGATAAATATAAAATTGTTCTTTTTTTTGTAGATCTAGAATATCTTTTTCTTTTATTGATTCCTTTTCCTTTTAAACTTATACCCAACTTAGTATAATGTTCTTCTTCATCATTGTTAATCAAAAATTAGTTGGGATATTTGAAGCGAGTCCTCTCCTGCCATATGCTCGACTTTGGGCCATGTCAATGAAATTTTTTTATCTAATATATCCTGGCGAATTTGAGAAATCCAATTTAGTCATGGTCTGGCTTTAATTTATTGGCCCGAAAATATAATTACAGTTATTATTTCAATTCTTATCCAAATTATACTGTATAAATATTATTCAGATTCAATTACCTATTTCGGATAACTTCAAGTCAAATATCATATATCAATGCATTGATCAGTTTACTTCGACTCTTTAAATGGAATCAAATATCCATAATTTATTCATCCGCGTTGAACTTTGTTTGGCTTAAAGATCAATTAAAAGCTGCATCGATATATAATAAGTTTTGCATTTGGCACGAAATTGAGATATATACCACTACCGAAAATGAAGCGCACAAAAAAACTTTCAAGACTTTGATGAACAATACAAGGGCAAAAGTTGTATTTTTATTTATCGAAGACGGTCATTTTGAGTATGTCCTAAAATCGATATATTCCATAAATCCCGATCCCGAATTAATATTTGTGGGGATTGATACATGGCCGGCAACAGATGAATTAATAAGGCTGGGTTTAGCAAAAATTCTTGAGGGAGCAATAACGGTTTTTGAATTTAGCAGTGATTTAACTCATTATTCTTCATGGTTGTTAAACTCTAAGAAAACTTCTAAAGCACTCAATCCATGGTCTTTTAGTAATAAAAATGGGCTTTTTCATTATAAAAACGATAATAATTTCTCAGACATTATCGATATGGTTAAATCTGATAAGAGGATTTCTTTAAGCATGGATGCCACTATGGCTTTCCTATACTCCATAGAAGCTCTCATAAAAGATAAATGTCAACATATTAATAAAAGCCAAATAAAAAATTGCATAGTTGATAACAATTTAAAAAATTATCTTCAAAATTTATCGTTTTATGGAATGTCTGGTCAAATCCATTTTGGCGTAGATCAAACTGCAAATAATCCATTAAAAATTGGCAACTTTCTCAAACTCAATAGCCATTATGATGTTGTTAATGTTGGCAGTTATAATATGTATGATACGGAAAACGGAGATCAATTAAAATTGATAACCAAATTTAAATGGAGAAATTATACTTTTTACAATGATCTAACGGCACCATCTTCAAGCTGTTCAACTCCTTGTAAAATAGATGAATATCCAGTGACAACTTCAAGTGTATGCTGTTGGATATGTCGCCGTTGTTTTGAACGAACTATCTTTACCCCATCGGATATGTTTAGATCCCATAATTATGGGGAGTGTATAGCTTGCCCAAATTACAAGTGGCCGAATTTAAACAGGACCGTATGTTTAAACATGGCAATTCATCATATTAAAGACTCTAAATATCGCCATTTAATCAATTTTTTAGCTTCAATAGGTATCCTTCTAGCAATTTTCATGGTCGGGTTTTATATATATAAATACCAAGCTACCCCATTTAAATTAGAATTTCGATCTTTACTATATTTACATTACGTGGGAATATTTTTTGGATTTATATCAATATTTCTTATAACCAATCGTCGTCCAGTTAAATCTAGATGTGGGTTTGTTCTATTTTTCTATCTGATGTCCATCTCCCTCATTTTTGGCGTATTGTCAAGTAAACAAAGTTCGATAATAAAACGATTAAAAACAAACAAGCCGGGATTCAAGGATAGAAAATATGAAAAGTGGACACTAACATATGTCATTATAATATGTTTGGTTCAGGTAAAATCTATATTTTAGAGTTTTCTATCCAAAAAGAAGAAAGAAATAGAACCATCTTTATTTTTAATATAATCACTCAAATGACGATTAATTTATGATCCCTCTTAAATAAATATTATATAAAGAACTAGATTATTAATATAGTTCTTGGGGGTAAAATAAAGATAATTAAAAATGCTATTAATATAGGTATTAGCGCGCTACAGTGACACCGTTACATTTTAATTTTTTTGAGTAGCAGTTAGTAGTCCCGCTAACACAGCGCCGCTATTGTTTAGATACTTTTAAAAATTAATTTAATACATTATTTTGAGCTAGTTTTGTTAAGTTTTGATTTGAGCCACTTTAAAAAACGATTAACTCAAATATTTTATCTAGGAAAATATTGTCCAAACCTCGAAAATTGATGTCCAACACTTTGTGGCATCTATGAATAAAATCTTCAGTCTTGTGTAATATTTTTCTGGCTAAAATATTGAGTTAGCCGTTTTTAAAAATCGCCTCAAATCGAGCCGTTTAACACTAATTAGACCTGACTTCTTCTCAAAATTCTTCGAAAAATTTTCTGACTATCCCAATTATATCAATTCTATTATAGATATTCAACAATTTTTAGGTCCCCTGCTCTTTTACCTATATATTAGCGACAAAGCAGATCTACAGCTTAAACTTTTAATTCAAAAGGTAGGGGGGGGGAGTAAAGTTGGCCTCTATTTTTTTTAAAGGGATATTATCTAAATATTAAACTAAATTACTAACATTTCTAAATTGTTTTTAAATAAAGTATATATTGACGCCATTTATTTCGCAATAAAAAAATTTGAGTCAAATTCGTTACTCCAACTCGAGTTCTTTTTTTATATTCTAACTTAATTTTAGTATCAATAACAAATTCATGTTATTTATTTTGACCTTTTATCCTTGTGGATTTGGATTTTTCTGAAAGCAAGTTAAATTAAAATAAGTATAAGTTAATCTCATTTTATCTTTATAGGGTAAAAAGGTTGATAATTTCTTTAATCTTTCGAAACCAGACCAGTTCCCGCTGATAACATTTATAATTTTCCGTTCGGTTTTTCGGTTCGTCACTATAACGGTTTGTTTCGATTTTTATTATAGCAATTAATTTCGCTTTCGATTATTTTAAAAATATATAATCCTGGTAAGCTCTGCAATTCAGCCCAAATCCTGCCGCGAACGATAAAAAAACTATAAAAAAAAGGATTGTTTTTTTATCTAGTTTAAAATTTTTTAATTTTAATTGGTAAATTTTGGATCTGAGCGAACTTACTTTTTAATTATATGTTTTTTTAAAAAAAATTAAACACCTGAACCGAGTTTGCTTTTTATTTTCTAATTTATTGTGAGTTGATATTGCTTATCCAACAAGATATATAATTTATGATTAAAACAGTGAATATCTGCATCACTTTATTGGGTCCATTTTGAACTTAGATTATGGTAAGACAGAAATAAAAAGAATATATAATTAATTTTTTAATCACTTTTAGATATATATACTTGGAAAACTTCTTTTTTTATGTGAAATATGATGGGGAAGGGGGGGGGGATAATTTTTTTCACCCTGTTCTTAAGAATTATATATCTTCATATTTACCATTAAGGCAGAGAACTCAAATTTTTCATTATTGTTATGGTTCGATCAAGGTTTAAGTCAACAATATCATAAAGGCTTAGTTATAGTTCATATAACCTATAATGCATCGGTTTGCTTTTTTGTTTGCAGTCCTTTGTCTGCTGATATGTTTCATCTTTGGTTAGAATTTAAGAGGTTATAACGGCCTATTTTTGATTCCGGGACTCTACTTGTAAATCTTTTCATTTATAAGAAAAATCGTATTTTTTTAATTTTAATGGATCGCCTAATTTGGTATTTTAATTTATATAATATAATATTCTTACTTTCAGTGCCTCTATCAATATCAAAGTTAGAGTATTCCCCTTTGAAAAGCTCGCCATTGACCTTAGTATTGTTAAAGGACTTGATTCGATTTTTAAAAACGGCTAACTCAATATTTTAACCAGAAAAATATTGCCTGAACCTCGAGGTTTCGCGAAAAGATGTTCAAATCTTTATGGTGTCTGTACAAAAATCTTCAGGCTTGCGTACTATTTTTTTGATAAAATATTAAGTTAACCGTTTTAATCGGCTCAAATAGAGCCGTATAACAAAATTGACATTGAGTGATGAATTTAAGATTTTATTTGGACTGGTTGACCACTTTATAAAATTAGTGCAAAAGTGGTTTGTCGCATAGGGCTATGATCACTTTAAAAATATGAATAATTCTCTTTCCTAAAAGTATTCATATAATATAAATGGAAATTAATAATAGTAATATTCCTTTTATGATTAGACTCTTAAATATATGATTGTTATCTTTCTTTCTTTTGGTATGGAAAACCTTTTAATGTAGACTATCGGCACACGAGGCATGGTCAGTAAATAGTCCCATACGAAAAGAAAATTTTAGATGCCATATTTAATATATTCCCTCCTTTGGTTTTCTAAAAGTAAATTTTAGACGCCATATTTAATATATTCCCTCCTTTGATTTTCTGGAAATCAATCAGATGAACTAAAGAATTTTTATCTTTAAACAAATTTTAAAATTGTGAAATTTAGCGTGTTGCATTTAGAACAAACGACAATATCAGACCCTTTATAAATTTCTTTTATTGTATATAACCAAGTTTAAATAAATAATTTCTCCGTATGAGGCTATTTACCAACTTTTGCATTATGTCCGCTCTATTCTATATTGTACAAATATTATATAAATTTCCTATTCATTTACTGTAATAAAACACATATTTATTCCTTTTTTAGGTTTTGATGGTAGCCTTGTATCTTATATTGGGAAATAATCCTGTATATCGGGTCGAAAATATTCATGACTCTTTCTTGCTCACTAATGAAACTAAAAATATTTCCTACATTCCTTTCGTGAATGAATATTGCTCTCCTTACCCCATGAATAGTGATTATCTTATCATAGAGTTATGTTTTCAAGCTCTCATTTTGTTGTACCTAATAGCCCAAACCATCCAAATAAATCAAAAATTTATTAAGGCCTACGTGGAAATAAAAAATTTACAGATAAACATCTTATTGAACATTTGTATTTATATCTTAGGCATGATTATTTATTTTTCCAAGCCAGGTTTTGTTTCCATCATCGCATTACTTATAATATTTATAATACTTCTCTACGTGCAAATTTTTTTTAATACCATACCAAAAATCATTAGCATAAACAAGATGGCGCGCTCCTCTTCAATGAATGAGTGAGGGTTTTTTACTAAAATAAATCAACCTCTGAAAAGATCAATAACTAAAATTTTATTGTACAAAATTATGGCAAATAAATCTTAAAAACACCTTGCTGCTTTCATAAAAATCCCTGTGATGATTAACATGTATAACATATAATATTGTCATAAGATATTATGTAAAACTAAATATGTAATCTACGAATCTACATTTAAACATTACTTGATTGACATTAGATATATAAAGTTATATATATATATTGTAAAAATACATAAAACAAATACCTACCCATACCACTAATATATAAATTAATATTGACGATTTGTGATAAGATGTTATCGCCAATTCTTTATGAATCCAAAAATTTTGATTATTTCAACATCGTCAAAAATATTTATATCTTTTGATCCGCCATTATTATTCTAAATTTAATAATTAGAATTACGTATTATTGTTTATGTATAATAAGGAAATATTTATAACAAGCGTGAATAATATAATGTGTCGCTGGTGCTAACCACAAAATAAAATACGGATTGGCAAATCGTTCTTTAGGCCGCGATGTAAATTTATTTTATAGAACCGCATATTCATAATAAATTTTACCTATTATTTGCTTGCTATTAAAAAAAATATCCGATACGTATCTCATCACTTGAGTATACGAGATTAAAAAGGAGGCCGATGACAAATACAAATATGATTAAATTTAAAAAAATTTTTTATTAGGAATAATAATTAATGGTTAAGTAAGGGTGAAAAAATTTCTGAAAAAAAATGAAAATAAACATTGTTTTTTAAAAAAGAATTAAATGCTGTATATCAGACCGGTCAAATATTCTAAAATAATAAATTGGAGATTAAATATATATAGAACCGTACCCTGGGAGAGCGTTGGCTAGCTGGTAGCATCATTATGCTCCCTATAAAGTTTCCGTTGCCAGTGATGAAAAAATTTTCTTTTCACATTTTTGTCAACCATTTATGATATTATGTTTAAATAATATTAAAATTTAAATATATAATAAATTTTTAAATTATTTATGCATATAAATTTTATAGACAATTCACAAAATCTTAAGTAAATTCACGTATTTACAATGTGTAAAACAAAAATGTTTCAAAAGTTCATGATCAAATTATCTGAAATTTATAAAGTAGGTATCACAAATCTAAATTTTATTCTAAACTTTAAGACATTTTTAAATTACAATAAAAATAAATGGCAAAATTTTATGAAAGTTGCATGGGACTTAGTTTTTTGATCAGGCCTGGCTATGTCTGCAAAAAAAAATTTCAGGCCAGTTTATAACCCATATTTAAAATTAAATCTTAAAGCATCTCTATTTAAAATTTTATCCAATATGATTTCCATCACAAATTTAAATTTTGATATTTCTAATACATGCTCACGTTTATATAAAATTTATAAATAATGTATATTTAGTACCATACACACAAACCAAATAATTACCCTTCAACCCCGTCAGCTAATATGGTAATAAACGTCAAAATTTTAATAATATCAGCTATTAATTAATATATATATATATATATATAATTAGTATTTTAAATTTAATTATATTCAAGTTGGTGCATGCTTAAAACATACGCCTTTGAAACGGGAGGTTGTGGTCCGACTCCAAAAAAAATAACATTACACTATATAGTCTCCTTAAATTTTAAATACATTAGGAGGATACGAAAACGATCATGTTTTGATTATGGAGATTATATATATTAGATATATTTTTTGTTGTAGCAGTAGCTCATCACATATATTATGTAATAATTGCAAATATAATTAATATCACCGTTTTACAGAGCTTATAATAAATTTAAGCAGAATTATATTTCAAAATAAAATGGAATATATTGCACAATGAAATGTACTAGAATGCACAAAATGAATATTTCTGACAGCCACCGAAATAAAATTATAACATATATATAATAAAATAAAACACAACAAAACAGACCAAGTAATACTTCATCCAAAAACATATTCTGCAAATACTCCTTTTCCCTTACTATACGCTACCCATCTTCTTAAAATAGGGGTGTGAGCGTTGCCAAAAAACTCTCTTATATCCAATATCACATTCAAATATAGGACCAAACCGTTTTACCATCTCCTTATCAATAGAATAGCTATGTGATCAAATCGCTCCAATTATGAATTTGGTTTTATTTTTAGTTGAGCAGATATTTTATTACATATAGCTTACACTATGTTATTGATTGATAAAATTACCATCCCAAATTTTTAAATTACATTAGGAGGATATTGATGCTGTCAAAGAATCCTAATCATGTTAGCTTAATATAAAACACTTTTTCTTCAATAAAGTCTGCCACTTCTTCAAAAAAAAACTAGTATTTTTGGTTTCATTTTGGCAAATACTCATTTTAAAAGTAAAATACGTATTATTGTTAAGTTGATAATTTTAATAAATAAATGGATTTACATTTTATAATTCAACTTGCACTAAAAAAATTTTAAAAAAAGTAATTGTAATTGTATTCGTCTAAAAATTGTATAAAATCGTAATAAATTCAAAATATTTTTTAGTATTTAAAAAACATATAGCAAATACTTTCTAAACTCGTACAATATTCAAATAAATTTGTATTTAGTTTTTTAAATAATATTCGCATTACGACACAACCCAGAGATACCTCGCTTTAAGTTTTTGTGTAATTTTTAAAATTTATATGCAAAATCTATATTATATAATATATTAAATGTAAATTAAGAGTAGTTCAAAACTTTCCGATTCAGGCAAAATAAGATCTTTCATTAAAAAAACGCACGCTATAAATGATTTTACAATTTGATAAAAACATCCAGATTTGTTAACCCCCCCCCCTCCCCATACAACATTAAAGATAAATAAATGAATGCCTTTATTGATATTAAAAAAAGAAGAATAAATAATTTACAAAGAAAGCTCAAATTAAATGGAAAAATATTTTTAAAATTATAGAATTTTTTTTATAGAATTTTTTTTGACTTCTTTAAGAAGAGAAAATCCCTGGATGGATTAAGAAGATGGGCCCATCATTATTTTATTTTTACTCCACAAAGAAAAGGAAAAGTGTTATATTATTAAAATTATAACTATCTTATAAACTTCTATAAGTGATAAACTTTACCTTTTTTCTAATGAGCATCAACTTATAGTGAGCACATTTACCTCCTTATAAAATTATTTGTATTTTCCTTCTTTCTTTTTCTTATTCAAAAAAATGTATAAATAGGAGAATATAAAGCAAAAATAAAAAAAAATCTTGCATAGTTAAGCCAATTGATTCAAGTGTTCAGTATACAAAACAAATTCCAAACTGATTTTCAAAATTCTAGAGTAATTGTAGAATAGAGTGAGCGTCAAAGTTATAATATATTTGTTATATATAAATAAATTAACATTATTATTTATTTATTTAAAAATGAAACAATTTCTAAAATATAACATTTTATTGACATCGAATTTTTCTAGTTATTAAATTAAATTTCAATGATTTTGAAAACATTTTATTATTTAAAAAATTAATATTTTGAATTATATAATGTTTTGTTTTGTGTGCCTTTTTTTTCAAATCGTCACAAAGTATTGGTATTAACCATGGCGATGATGATGATGGTGATGATGATGGTGATGATGATGATGGGTTCTTCTCTTGTTTCTAGAGGATGATATTTCATCTAATGGCCCATATTCCATGGATTCATATGCACTTTCAACGGCTAACCCATTTTCAGCCGATGTAGCTAGAAAAGAAGCGCACACCAGACCAAATATCTTTTTTTTTAAATATTGTTTTAATATTGATTGAGAAGAAAATATTTTCTCTTTAAAAAAGGAAATAGAATAAAATTAAATAAAATAGGTTATTTGTTATAAATATAGTTTGTGCGACAAAATAAGATTAGTCAGTTTCTTTACTTATTTATTTAGTTTTTAGAGGATATATAGCAGAGTTGTTAAAGGAACTCCCTAAAAGTTTTTGTAACGTTAGGTAGTAACATTGCCACTTTTTAATTTAGGCCCTTATTTATGGTTAAAGCGATTTCCTTAATTTGACGCTGTCTAATTTACAAAAAGCAAGTAAATTATAATGGCTGAGAAACTTCGTTTATATAAGCACAATTCGCTCAAATGAATCGCATCGCAACATATGATTTTCAAATTTCATCATGGCGAAGTAACCCTGTTACATTGCAGGGCTCAGTCATTATAAACTGAGCCTATTATTTACTTGATTCTGTAAATTGAATAGCAATGAATAAGGGGAATCGCGTTTACTATGCCCTTAACTTTAAATAAAATGAAAATTAATTATAAGAAAAGGAAGATAATACAATTTTAGAGTTTTTTTTTTAATTCACAATTCCAGTTCGCAAAATAAACTCTTAAAAATTTGAGCTAAGGGACATTGTGTTAAATGCTCAAATTATACCTGTTTCTAATTCAATATTACAATGTGTATCAGAGACACCTAAAAGCCCGAGCCAAGGGACATTGTGTTAAATGCTCAAATTATACCTGTTTCTAATTCAATATTACAATGTGTATCAGAGACACCTAAAAGCCCGAGCCGTAATGGGCTAAAGGACGATAATATTAATATCTGGGCCGAGTTTAAAATTTTTCAAAATTATAACAATTAATCAGTGGGAGATTGTTGAAAAAATCATATAATGGAGCGTATTATTTACTGCTCATTTTTTTTTATTTCCTATGAAATATTTTTCCGCCAAAATTATTCCGAAATAACGAAATTTTAAAAATATCTGGACCGATCCGTTAAAATAATTAAAAATAATCCAAATATGGTCCAAATTTTCCAAAAAGTTACTGGAGCAGA